TGTTTTAGTCGACTGACTAATCGACTAAAAATTTTTGACTGATTCCTATCCTTACTTGAGGTTCAATTTAAAAAAAAATAGTATTCTATTTAGTTAATTATTTATTTCAATAAATCTAATTTTTGTTTTATTGCGGTTTGCAAAATTCTGTAAATTTTTGCAAATCATAAAAAAAAAAAATAATCGATTATGATTAATGATTATTGATTATGATTAATGATTATGATTAATGATTAGTTTCCGATTTCTAATTTTTTTTCATATATTTTTTTAAACTTTAGATTAAACTTTAATATTGTGTAAATTTTTATATAAAACGTAATAAACTCTAATTTTAACTTATTAATAGTATTAATGAGTTTATTACGTCTTTTATAAAAATTTACATAATATTAAAGTTTAATCTAAAGTTTAAAAAAATATATGAAAAAAAATTAGAAATCGGAAATCACTAATCATTAATCATAATCAATAATCATTAATCATAATCGATTATTTTTCTTTTATGATTTGCAATAATAAGATGGGTAAGTATTTTTGAACCCGGACCAATTTTATATATGACGTAATAACATTTTGGTCTGGATTCAAAAATAATCATATGGGCTAATATGTATAATAATGCAAGAGAGAGAACCCCGTACCCTAAAATTTTTTTATAGTGGGTCAGGTCGTTAAACAATACAATTGTCTGAATGACTGAGGCAAAAGGTTTATTTTGACCATTTACTCATAACAATAACAAAGTCAAACAGCATATCTTAGTAGGCCCAGGCTAATAATTAGACGATAATCTAATGGGTTTTAAGATAATCTAATGGGTTAAATGCATATTCGCTATATCCTTCTTGCATAATTGTGCAGAAAAGACCCTCGAAAAATCAAATCAATCACCCTAACAATGCGTTAGACCAATCAAAAACAATTAAACAAGGGGTTTAAACTGAATTTAGTGACTCTATTCAGAGCCCAATAATCGGAAATTAGCCCATATGTTACCCAGATTGATATGTGTGCATCGATTCCGATGATCATTAGTGACCCTACCTATAGGCCGTTGCACACCCTAATTGGACACCCCAACGTTACATTTAGTGTTATCAATTTTTTGTTCTATTGATTATCGTTCTATTTGTTTTTTTGCTATATTAATACGTATTAATTATAATCTAGATGTCAATTTTTTGTTCTATTGATAAAAATTTTATTCTATTCTAAATTCTATTGCTCTATTGTTCTATTCATCTATTGCTAACAACACTGGTTACATTGGGTTATACATCAACTAAGTAAAATTTATGTGCAATCTATAAATCGCAAAATCAAATTTGGGGACGTCTAAAGCGGAGGGAACGCATCTTTCTTAATAATTTACTTGATTACCTTTAGGGTTAGGGTTGGGTTAGGGGCGTTTGTATAAATAAAATTGTTTAAACTACCGTTTTTTCTATTTTTCACGTTTTTCGGTTTGTTTTTTTTGCATTTCTTATAATTTGATCACATGATTCTCCGCCTCCATTTTGGTAAAATCTCTGACTGTATTTGGACAAATTAGACATTGTCCAAATGTCAAAATTGTCCAATGTCCAATATTATGCGGCATCTCTGCACTTGGAGCTTGTACGTGTAATGTTTACCTCCAATATTTTGACTAATTACGGATTGGTAAATGGCGCAAGACTACGTATTGATATGATATGAGTGATGAAGAGAAAATCTGTAATTCCAAACATAGATTATTATGAAATTTTATAATAATCTATTTTTAGGTTTTCTCTTTCCGTCACTCATATATACCTACATTAATATTGCTCAAAACGGATAATTGTACAGGTCCGAAACCGATACTGTCTACATTACATAAATAGTTTACAAGTGGTACTGAATTAGATATACTGTATATGGGAAGGAAAATCAGGAATTGTTCTCATATGCGATTTCCATCGTGCCTTGCTTGGGCAATTACGATTCACAAATCGCAAGGTTTAACATTACCACAAACAGTATTAGACATTGGAAATAAGGAATTCGTTATAGGTCTTACGTTCGCAACTGTATCAGGAGTCCGTGCTCTTTCTGAGCTTCTTTTTAATAGTACTTTCTCTTATAATAGATTACAAAAATTGGAGACAAGTACACGTTTGTAGGAAAGATTAGCTGAAGAACTGAGATTATTTTCTTCATAATTATTGGAATTTATGTCTTACACGTCACGCATTAATATAAATT